AGCAAGTACCTAGACAAGCATCCTGATCAAGTTTGATGACACTTGTGTCAAAAATGTGACCGCTAGAGTGTTAACAAGATTTTTCTATTTTTAGCTCCGGTGACATAGTTTTTCATCTGAGATGACCCATGTTCGAACTCATCCGAGCTATCACCTAGACAAGCATCCTGACCAAGTTTGATGACACTTGTGTCAAAAATGTGACCGCTAGAGTGTTAACAAGATTTTTCTATTTTTAGCTCCGGTGACATAGTTTTTCATCTGAGATGACCCATGTTCGAACTCATCCGAGCTATCACCTAGACAAGTTTCCTGACCAAGTTTGATGATGATGGAGGCAAAAATGTGACCCCTAGAGTGTTAACAAGGTTTTTCTATTTTTAGCTCGGAGACCTAGTTTTTCATCTGAGATGTCTCATGTTCGAACTCATCTGAGCTATCACCTAGACAAGCATCCTGACAAAGTTTGATGATGATTGAGGCAAAAATGTGACTGCTAGAGTGTTAACAAGGCTTTTTTATTTTTAGCTCCTGTGACCTTTTTTTTTAATCCGAGATGACCCATGTTCGAACTCCTCCGAGCTATCACCCAGACAAGCATCCTGACCAAGGGTGATGATGATTGAGGCAAAAATGACCATTGTGACTATTTGTTAATTTAAAATCCATTGAACTATGAAGAAGTTCTAGACCGGACACAAAATATACCCTACAACAGACTATGTTAATTTTTGACCTCTAAGTGTGACCTTGACCTTGGAGGTAGGGATGCAGGTGTTGCGCATGACACATCGTCTTATTATCCCCCGCCGAAAAATTTCGGCGGAGGATATAGAAATAGTCTCCGTCCGTCCGACCTTCCGTCCGACATTTTTGTCCGGAGCATATCTCTAAAAGTATTTGAGGTATCAACTTGGAACTTCATAGGTGGATAGACCTCATTGAGGAGGAGTGCAGTGCACAAGAATGATAACTCTACCTTGCATGATTTTTGAGTTATTGCCCTTTGTTATTTTTCAAAATTGATTTTTGTCCAGAGCATAACTCCAAAAGCTTATGAGATATTAACATGAAACTTCATAGGTGCATAGATCTCACTCAGGAGGTGTGCAGTGCACAAGAATGATAACTCTACCTTTCATAATTTTTGAGTTATTGCCCTTTGTTATTTTTCATACCTAATTTTTCACCTGAGTGGAGCATAACTCAAAAAGTGTTTGAGATATCAACATGAAATGTCATAGGTGGATAGATCTTATTGAGGAGGAATGTTGTGTGCAAGAATGATAACTCTTCCCTATACAATTTTTGAGTTATTGCCCTTTGTTTTTTTTTATGTTATTTTGTCCAGAGCTTATCTCAAAAAGTATTTGAGGTATCAACTTGAAACTTCAAAGGTGGATGGATCTCATTGAGAAGGAGTGCAGTGCTTAAGAATCATAACTCTACCCTGCATTATTTTTGAGTTATTTCCCTTTGTTATTTTTCAAAATTAATTTTTGTCCAGAGCATAACTCAAAAAGCCTTTGAGATATCAAAATGAAACTTCATAGGTGCATAGATCTCACTCAGGAGGTGTGCACTGCACAAGCATGATAACTCTACCTTTAATAATTTTTGAGTTATTGCCCTTTGTTCTTTTTCATACTTAATTTTTCAATTCAATTTTTTTCTCAAAAAGTATTTGAGGTATCAACTTGAAACTTCATAGGTGGATAGATTTTACTGAGGAGGGATGCAGCATACAAGAATGATAACCTACCCTGCATTATTTTTCAGTAATTGCCCTTTGTTATTTTCAGCCATCAGTATTCACATAGGTTTCAAATCTGTAACCATTATAGCCATCAGTTTTCATTACCAAAAGACCTCTTAAAATGGAATTATTCCGCTCTACTACATATACATTCTTCCAATGAGCAAACACATTCGGCGGGGGATGGCCATGTTGACATGGCTCTTGTTATAATTACTATTTGTGCCAATTATTTTCAAAATCCTTTGATCTATGAACAAGAGCGATCAGTTATCACGTGTCGTCTCATGATGGCCAATTTCATGTTGGGACAAGTTTTGTGACAGACGGACAGTGCACAACTAGACTTGGTACTGATCATTCCTGTAAAGTTTGGATAAGATTGCACCAGTAGTTTATGAGGAGTAGTCCGGACAAGCTTTAGTGTATCTGGCAACACACAGAAACAAGAGGGCCATGATGGCCCAGAAGTCGCTCACCTGTATATAGGCCCCCGAAGCGGGGCCAGTTTAAACCCCAGGGCTTTTATTTGAACAAACTTGGTAGACACCCATTAGCTAAATATGCTAAACATCGAAGGTCTAGCTGGTCAAGTTTTTTCTTTACACATATAGTTAAAAACAATGACACACCTGGGGCAGGGCCAATTTTGACCCAAGGGCTTTTATTTGAACAATCTTTGTAGACACTTACTAGAAAATGTTTCATGCTTAATATCTAAACTCTAGCTATTTAGGTTTTTTCAAAGAAGATTTTTATGTTTTGCTATACACATATAAAGAAAATCAATGTCCCCCGGGGCGGGGCCAATTTTGACCCCAGGGCTTTTATTTGAACAAACTTTGTAGACACTTCACTAGAAGATGCTTCGTGCTTAATATCTAAACTCTAGCTACTTGAGTTTTTTCAAAGAAGATTTTTTAAGTTTTTGTTATACACATATTTATAAGGAAAATGAATGACCCCTGGCAGGGCCAATTTTGACCCCAGGGCTTTTATTTGAACAAACTTGGTAGACACTCACTAGAAGATGTTTCATGCTTAGTATCTAAACTCTAGCTATTTTGTTTTTTTCAAAGAAGATTTTTTAAGTTTTGCTATACACATATAAGGAAAATCAATGACCCCGGGGCGGGGCCAATTTTGACCCCAGGGCTCTTATTTGAACAAACTTGGTAGACATCCATTAGAACATGTTTCATGCTAAATATCTTCGCTCTAGCTCTTTCGGTTCTTTAAAAGAAGATTTTTCAAGTTTTTACTATATGCATATAGGGAAAATCAATGACCCCGGGGCGGGGCCAATTTTGACCCCAGGGCTCTTATTTGAACAAACTTCGTAGACATCTATTAGAAGATGTTTCATGCTTAATATCTTAGCTCTAGCTCTTTCGGTTCTTTAAAAGAAGATTTTTCAAGTTTTTACTATATGCATATAGGGAAAATCAATGACCCCCTGGGGCAGGGCCAATTTTGACCCCAGGGCTTTTATTTGAACAAACTTGGTAGACACTCACTAGAAGATGTTTCATGCCGAATATCTAAGCTCTAGCTCTTTTAGAAGAAGATATTTAAAGTTTTTTCTTTTGGTTGACATGGCAACCAGAGTTCTGCATGGAATTAAATTCTTTGAACAATTTTCAAAGGTGACCACCAAAGGAACATTCCTGTGAAGTTTGGATGAAATCGGCTTAATGATTTATGAGGAGATGTCATTTAAAGTAAAAGTTTACGGACGACGGACGAAAAGCGATCACAAAAGCTCACCCTGTCACTTTGTGACAGGTGAGCTAAAAAACACCTTTTTATCAAAGGGCCATAACTCGGCCAAAAATCATTCAACCGGAAAACCCGTGCAATATGCGCAAGGACTTGAGCTATAGATCAATCCTGTAAAGTTTCATTGAAATTGCATAAGTGGTATAAGAGAAGTAGTTCGACAAACTTTAAAAATAACAAGAGGGCCATGACGGCCCTAGATCGCTCACCTGACCCATCAGAACAATTGCCTAGACAAGCATTCTGACCAAGTTTCATGACAGGCGAGTCAAAAATGTGACCACTACAGTGTTAACAAGGATTATCTATATTTGAGCAGTGTGACCTAGTTTTTTACCCAGGTGACCCATATTCAAACTTGACCTAGAAATCATCAAAACAAACTTTCAGACCAATTTCCAGGATACTTGGATCAAAACAGTAGCAACTAGTGTTTACAAGATTTTTCTATTTTTAGCTCCGGTGACCTTGTTTCACATGCGATTTCGAACTCATACGAGCAATTACCTAGACAAGCATCCTGACCAAGTTTGATGATAATTGAGTCGAAAATGTGACCACTAGAGTGTTAACAAGGTTTTTCCATATTTGGGCAGTGTGACCTAGTTTTTCATCCGAGATGACCCATGTTCGAACTTGATTTAGAAATCATCAAAACAAACTTTCAGACCAATTTACAGGATATTTGGATCAAAACAGTAGCCACTAGAGTGTTAATAAGATTTTTCTATTTTTAGCTCCTGTGACCTAGTTTTTCATCCGAGATGACCCATGTTCGAACTAATCTGAGCAATTACCTAGACAAGTTTCCTGACCAAGTTTGATGACAATCTAGTCAAAATTGTGACCACTAGTGTTAACAAGATTTTTCTATTTTTAGCTCCTGTGACCTAGTTTTTCATCTGAGATGACCCATGTTCGAACTCATCTGAGCAAGTACCTAGACAAGCATCCTGATCAAGTTTGATGACACTTGTGTCAAAAATGTGACCGCTAGAGTGTTAACAAGATTTTTCTATTTTTAGCTCCGGTGACATAGTTTTTCATCTGAGATGACCCATGTTCGAACTCATCCGAGCTATCACCTAGACAAGCATCCTGACCAAGTTTGATGACACTTGTGTCAAAAATGTGACCGCTAGAGTGTTAACAAGATTTTTCTATTTTTAGCTCCGGTGACATAGTTTTTCATCTGAGATGACCCATGTTCGAACTCATCCGAGCTATCACCTAGACAAGCATCCTGACCAAGTTTGATGATGATTGAGGCAAAAACGCGACCGCTAGTGTTAACAACTAAATGTGGACGGACGACGGACAATCATCGATCTAAAAGCTCACCCTGAGCATGCTCAGGTGAGCTTAAAAGAGGGTCGGTCGTGGAAAGGATATAGGTCCACTAGGTAATGTCTCACATAATACACCAAAGCTCTAGAACATGCAAACAAAAGACAAAATACATCAGTTCATGTCATCAACACTTTTATTGATGTAAAAATATAACAAACAATTCAAGTGTCCATGGTAACATGTTGCGAAGACCCAAGTTCCAATATTTACTCGTCCGCCTCGTCATCTTCCTCGTCCTCATTGTTGATCTGGAAGTATCGGAGCTCGTAAGTGTCCTTAGCAGAGGCTACTACTCTCAACCAATCTCTCAAGTTATTCTTCTTCAAGTACTTCTTGGTAAGGTACTTAAGGTATCTGAATTAATCATCACATTCATTTTAATAGATTCCAATGGTTCTTTTTTTTTCTAAGTTAAAGTATGGGAGAGGCAGTTTTGAGTTGAATTCATATATTTAACTTTTGGTATAAAACACCTTATCAGTACACCATTTAAATATTTTTTTATTTGTTTATTATACTTAAACAACATCAATTCTAAACTGCAATTTTAGCTATGAACTGAAACAATTGATTTGATTGTTATGTACTGCAATATACCTAGTTTCCCATAATCCTTAATCCATTAATTAATTGTAATATGGAATACATACAATTGTCTATGACAGACTTTTATTTTAGGGGTTTACATCACACCAACACATATTGCGACTTTCCAGCTTTACCAGAGAAGACCTAAGATGCCCCTTAGTACATTATTTCAGGCACAAACAGGCACACGAGTAAAACCACCAACATTTCGTAAGCTAGCTGGATATCTTTTTCACAAGAAAGAATCTTAAGAGGGCTTGCAACGGCTGGCTCAAGCCTACAGCCGCAAAAGGCAAGGTGTTTCTATAATGGATAAATTTTGATACAAGTTTTACATGCTTCTTATATGAATAGTTCCTAACTTTACTTGAAATAAGCATAAGAACAACATTAAACATGGTTGGTGGAGATAAGGCTACATTTAGAGCTCACTAGAAGCGAAGTTGTTTTTTTTAAATTGTCACAGCATCAAGATAAACTTACCTCTTTGAGAATGGGATGTCGGCATTCAGGATAACCTTTGACTTCTGTCTCTCTAGGGTAACATTGTTTCCCATATTGTTGGTTTTGCCTTCTACCTTGATGCGTTCGTTCAAGAACTTTTCCTGTGGAACAACAACCAGACACGCAGGTTAGGGAAGAGAACCCTAACCCAGGCCAGGGGAATTAACCCTGGCCCAGACTAGGGAAGGTAACCCTAGTTGTTTTCAAACATTAGTACATTATACAAAATAATCACTAACAAATATTTACTGCTAAAACATTATCATTCATAATCATAAGAAAAGATAGGTAATAAAATTTAATCAAAATATTTGCATTTGTCTGAATCATAAAAAAAACATTACAGGGCTTTTTTTCACATGTTGGGGAAGCAGCCCAGCCCTTAATTTTGGGGGAAAATTACACAGTATATTTGCAAAAGGGGAATAAAAAACTTAAATTCAATTTTTGGGAAAAACTGCATGATTTTAAAGAAATTTTCTTTCGTGAAGCAGCCCCTGTTATAGAAGGAAAAAAGGCCCTGCATTAAGAATTTAAAATGTGCATTCTATTTCAAATAAAATTCAACTTCATGAGGAACTACTTACAAAGCTTGCGACATCCATAATACCATCTTCAACTGGATGAGTGCAGTCTAGTGTGTATTTGACTGATATCTTCTTTTTCTTGCCCTTACCACCTGAACGGGGTTTGGTTGCTGCTTTGGCTACTTTCTGAAATATTACCATAAAGTATATGAAAACATTACAACTTGTGTTTCAATACAAGGCATATGGTAACTATAATTTCTTCTTTATAGGGCCATCCTTAAAAAAATGTTTGTTTGCAGTAACCCGACCCAGAATTTTCAAGGTGGGTAGGTAGGTCGATTTTTTTTTTTTTTAATTGAACTGCACTCCCAAATAAACATGGAATTTCAAAATGCTGGACAATATAATTGCTTTGATAATCTGGTAACAATTAATAAATTGATAACTGAATTCTATTTTAATAAGACCTACATTTTATTTCTTCTATTAACCTTTAAAAGAACGAAAACAAAGCACAAGGCATAATTTTCTGATTTAAAAAAAAAAATTTTTTATCCAGACCATGAAAAAAAATTTTGAGTAGGGGCAAATTTTGTGAGTCGGTCGCGTTACTGCAAACAAACATTTTTTTAAGGATGGCCTAGTCAGTAACATAAAAACATGTACAATCTGCAACGCATTCCACATGTGATCAAAATAAAAGGTAAATAAAATATCAAGACTAGTATATATATATTTGATCAAGACATATAATCATAATAATCAGAACTGTTGATATCTTTTTATCATGATGAAGTTGGTCCACAGAAAAAAATTGGCAAATAAATCCGAACTCATTTATAAAATTACAAAGTAAACTTCAATTGTATCATAGTTTGGGGACCTTTCTGTTGAAAATGTGTCAAGAGTTAAATCGAATATATATACATGCACAGTGTGTTAACTGGAGTGCAGGTATTAGTTACCTGCACTCCAGAGCATGCCCATTGATTGGCTCATTTTTGCTGGGGTTTACTTATTGTGATGGCAGGGAAAGGGAAAGTGACAGAAATTTCATATTCAGATGCTCTTCATTGGTTACTTTTTTTCTGGGGTTTCATATTGTGACAACAGGGAACGTGTTTTTATGTTTGACTATGATACAAAAGAGAAAGAACATCAAAACACTCGGCAATCTGATTAATACTTGTACAAATCAGATAGCCTTGTGTTTCGATGCTCTTTCTATTACTTAAATTATTATCCTCAACTTGCTTCCAGTTAAAAGGTTTGTTGGGGTGGGTTTTTTTTATATTTTTAATAGCTACTACCAACCACCACCCCAAATGGCATATAGTTTCAGTAGGGAATTTATTTGATGTGCATGTTGAAATGGCAATCTCCTGGATTAGACCCCTATGTATATTTCAGAAGTAAAACTTGTATATAATACACTATAGAAAACGGAATGAACTGTATATACACATTTCCTCCTGGGTCTATTTCCTAGCCAGTCTGCGAAATTAGCAGTTGTTCTATTGCCCGAGACACCATTTTTTGGTCCCGACAACCAATTTTTAAAAGTTCACTTGCCCGATGGACAAGTAAAATTTTGCAGAAAATATTCATCAAAATGTCAACGAATAGTTATAAAATGCAAGATATCAAATACAATTAGTAGCTTACATTTATGACTGTTTCTCACTGAAGACAAGTTTTAAGATTTGATCAATAATTGCTTGGAGATGTTCTGATGAAAATATTTGGGCAATCAGTTTTTACTTCAGACGACCCAATGTTCTTGAATTGGTTACCCGTACAGTATGACAACAATTTTTAAACCCTAATTCACAGACTGCTAGGATATCGCCAATAATTTGTCTACTCAACCAAAGTTTGACAACAAATAACCAGGTCTAGTTTATCGCCAGACAAGTGCATGATGCACAAAGTGGTAAATAATAAACAAATTGGTATATTTAATCATACATCAATCGGTGTTCAAATATTTGGACCCTGGCCACAATCTCAAAATGCTGAAGACCTTACCTTATAAAGAGGGTGATCATTAAGAGTAGACCATAACTTTTAATATTTATTCAGTTTTTTTTTTCACACCAAAATTGAATATTTTACTTTAAGTACGCATCTGTATAATTGTTCAATTATAGACATATTAAAAATAATTAAGTAAAATCATTGAGTGATCTGCAACATTAGTCACAGACGCTTGGGGTTTGGAGCTCAAAACGCCTTTAAAATCCAAATAAAATGCATATTTGTCAATCCCAGGACATGTACTGATCATATATATCAAAAAATCTTAATATATGCCGTTTTGAAAAAAAATCATATTTCAACATCTATAATAATACACAAGATAAAAATGTTCGCCGGAAAAAATCCGCACCCCTACCGTCATAATCACCATGTATTTTAATCCATTTCCAATATTTTCACATAATCCTTTGGTCCATCGACACAGAAGATATAATTCTTCACGATGATGGTCAATTTTAAACTTCAACGGTAATATAAACAACGCAACAGCCGAAATAAACATCAATATTCTCGCCGTTTTTTTCAACGACAAAAACTTTCGATAAATTCAATGGACCAGACGGCTATGAACGAAGCTATCCGATTATGTGGCCCCAGCTTTGCCGTGTGCAAAATGCGCAGCGCTTTTAAGTTTGGGAACCACATTTTCGGATAGCTTCGTTCATAGCCGTCTGGTCCATTGAATTTATCGAAAGTTTTTGTCGTTGAAAAAAAACGACGAGAATATTGATGTTTATTTCGGCTGTTGCGTTGTTTATATTACCGTTGAAGTTTAAAATTGACCATCATCAGTGTTTCTGCCAGAGCGCGTTTTTGGCGCACTATTTTCAGCCATGACGCAATGAAATTTAGTTAGTGCGTATTTTGTGACGCAAGAATTTCACCGTCGCTGTTTTCAACACAAGTCAGATATACAGACTATAAACTGTCAATTCAGTATAAAAATGTACGGAATGTTTACCGTGGGCTCCACTATAATTTTAATGAGAAATTAAATTTACCAGGTCCGTGGTCCGGCATTTAGCCAATTTCAACTAGTTAATAAACGCTTGCATTTATACGTTACTGCATATATTGAAAGCGCCCAGACAAAATTATTTATTTTGTTGTCGTCATATTCTGCGAACGAATAACTGTCTGCTGGAAAATGCAGTCTGCGTATATGTTAGTGTTCATCTGTGCTGTTCTACAGAAATTAGAAACTTCAAAGGGAGCGATAGCGACAGGAGAATGTTTCTAATTTCTGTAAATCAGCTAAGGATGAACACTAACATATTTAGTGTCAAGCTTTATTTGGCCCTTGATTACATCACTAGGCGGTACTATGAAGCACTATGAAAAATAGAAGGCGACTATGAACGAATTTCAATATAGTATCAACTTTCTTTCTTCTATGAAAATTAACACACATAACTTTTAAGAAATACAGCGTTATTATTGGATGACAAATAATCCAAAATAGCAGAGATTGACCAATTTCTTCACGAAAAATATACAAAATATTGTAAATAAAACTTATTAAGTGTTACCTGTTTTTTTTTTTTTACTTTTTTGTTAAATTTATTGGCATGACCCTTATGAATTTGAAATGACCCCTAAAATATCATACAGGGGGTCATAAAAGACCCTCAGAAAATCAGAGCTGGCAGAAACACTGCCATCATCGTGAAGAATTATATCTTCTGTGTCTATGGACCAAAGGATTATGTGAAAATATTGGAAATGGATTAAAATACATGGTGATTATGACGGTAGGGGTGCGGATTTTTTCCGGCGAACATTTTTATTTTGTGTATTATTATAGATGTTGAAATATGATTTTTTTTCAAAACGGCATATATTAAGATTTTTTGATATATATGATCAGTACATGTCCTGGGATTGACAAATATGCATTTTATTTGGATTTTAAAGGCGTTTTGAGCTCCAAACCCCAAGCGTCTGTGACATTAGTGGCCAAGTTTAAAAAAAAAATATGACGTTTGCAAGAATTCCAAGTCCGTCAAGGTGCCAATTATACTACAAATAAAAATGTTGATGATATTCTAAAACTTAAATTAAGTTCAAAATCAAATGTATTTATATGAAATGACGATTTCAAGTGAGCCGTAATTTTTACCGCTGGTGCCATGACGGTGTCGTGATGAAAAGGAAGACGCACGTGGTTTATCTAGACTGGTTACACTCAATGGCTACAAAGATATAAAAACTACCTAAAAGGATAAGGACATTTTTGATTAATTGTACGCGAGCATGTTGTTTCCGTGTTACAATATGTTGGTCGGTGATTCGATCTTGAATGTCTAATCACTAACGTGCTCAGTAAACTGATGGTAATATCATTCCGTGTACATGTATATACATCACGGTGTCAGGTGGTTTTAAAAATGATATTTCTTGTTTTTTAAACTAAGAAGATAATTAAATTGACAAATAGTGCATATTTTGGGGTGAACATAATGTAAAAACACTTAACATCTTACAATTTTAACAGCCTTGGAATCATTTGTATATAGTTCAATACATTTTGTATTATATTATTATAACTCAACAAAAGTTTTCTTCTACCGTACCACTTATTATAAAAGCTTATAACAAGAATTAACAACATATTGCCATATCCCGCCTTATAGTATCTAAGTTTCAATTCAACTATAGTTGATTCGGAAAACTTAATAGGGTGAACATTTGGATTTGTAATCAATGTGCCGTTGGTTCGATCCTCAGACGAGATTTTACGTGACAATTAATCTCGCATATTGAGTGTAATGGTCATTTGTTCTCACACCTGAAATCGTGTGGGATTATATTATTCTACGTCGAACCTGCTTTCATGAATTTATACTTATAAAGGCAAATCTGTTTTTGGTTTTGTAACATCTATCACCTTATTCATTACCAGCAAATTGTGTAAATGTCTTTTAAACACTCAATTTCACCAAAATTACACAATCAATTTATTCACAGGTCTAAATGTGTACAGTAATCATACGTTTCACAATACTTATCAGTTGGTCAAAAATGTTCCGTTACAAAATAAATAAAATGACTCAAGAATACTCGTACAGGGTATTATAACAGGATTTTGTTCAAGACAAAAAAAATGAAACGCAGTGGTATGCATAAATATCATTATTTTTCTTCATACTCCCTCGATTAAAAATGTAAAAAGGACGATGGTGGGAATTCCATTTAAAAGGTAACTTTTTGTTGATTCTTGACCATTGTATTACTTCCCTAAAGAATCCAAATGATTCCAAGAATGTTTTAAAACAAGAAATAAAATTAATTTTAAAATTTTCTTAATTTTTCAGTTACGGGTCTTATGCATGCACCTTAATTGATATGTTTCGTGTCGATATATAGTAATGTTGTTTAATTTCAAAATGATACATTAAAACTTTTGTCTCAAAATTATCTAATAAAGCAATTTTCTTAAATAAATATTTTCTAAAATATTACAAACTTCTTATTGACTTTATATGTGTCACAGGGTAAATAAATAAACAACAACTCCTGGCAGGTTCGTCAATTTCATTGTAATATGTACGAAGAAAAAAAAAGCTAAAAACATAAAAACATGATTATATACAAGTTAATTAAAATATACTACATAAAATACAACAATACGACAATTGACCGATGCAAATAAGAATTATTTGAAGAAATGAATTAAATGAAAATAATCTTACCACAGAGTCCCAACAAAGAATGAAAATAGTTTAATTAAGAAAAGTTCGCGGGAATTTGGAAGAAAGGAAATGTTAAAAACCAATGTAAAACTTTCGCTAAAATTCCTTTCATACCACGTACAACACGACTGAACATAAAAAAATATTTCACAAATTTGCACGAGAAACGAACATAGTTGAATTGTCTCGGACGTTTCCGTGATTTCCGCTAATAATCGTACGTTACGGAACCATCCGCTACAATACATAAGCAGAGGATAACAGACGCCACGGAGAAAAACGACAATCGACGCATGCGCGAACATTATATATACTTTTCCCGCGTCTAAATTACAAACAGTGCACGGCAAAATGAACAATTAATGTAACAAATAAATTGACCCGTGACATATGGAAATGTTCACTAAATTTGGGGTGATTGATTGATAATTATTAGTCACCCACATAAGGGAAGTTTTGACTTTCTATTCTGAAATCTAGGACGTTTTTGACAATGGAAATTTTTGCACAAAAGTAGAATAGCCTCAACTCCGGATGCTTTTGAATTTTGTGTATGTGTAGACTCAATGTCCTTCAAGGTTATTAAGAACCATTTTATATTTAGTACCGCGAAACCAATTTCGCGTTTTAGGCAAGATTTCGATATTGTTGCACTGTCAGCGATTGATTTAAAAAGACCAAGATAATTCTGTAAAAGTCAATGGGACGTAACATGATTTAATATGTAGATTTATCGATAAGTGAGATGCTTACAATAAGGAAAAAGAAACACTTCAGTGAAAAATATGAAAAATAGAGTTTATCATATTATAATCACGGCTTGACTAAATTTAAAAGAAAACCAATAATACCGCCTGACCTTTTAAGAAATATCTGTTTCCGAAACCAGTCTATACGATACTTTTTGGTAGTTTATCACCTTGAGATCGATTTTGCGACGAATTGTGGGTAAAATACAAAACACCCACCGAATAAATTTGTGTTAAGTTATTCTGTTTTCTTGCTAAATGGTAATGATATATTTTCTGTTTATAGATATTATTTGATGTTTTTAATTTAGCACTTATAATGTTACATTTCATGTTCGATGTAAGTCTTTCCCCACTTGCAGAAGTTGCCGAATTACGAAATTTATCATGACACCGGTTGAAGGAGGGCGTTTTTCGACATCGTTTGATGTTCAATTTTAACGTGTAAAATAACCATTTGAAGTTCAATACACTTTATAAGAAAGTATAGGCTAGAATTTGATATGGTTATCATATTTATAATGATAAGATTTATGTTGTGATGATACAGATAGACTGGAAAGGCTAACAACACAGACCTGACAGATTAGTCATTTTGTAACCTTGTTGTCATTCTCAACGTGACTTCCTCTCATAGTCCTATAACATAAGACGTTTCCGTTAGTACTACTTACACTCCAACGTCTTGTCGACTTCTTCATAAGTTCCTTTAGCAAAATGCGCAGCGTTTTTGAAGCGCTATATCCTACCGTGACCCAAATTCGGCGTTCTCCTAAATTCGGCGATGTTTTGTTTTTCATCATTCACGCGAGATTTCAGAGGTGAAGGTCAATCATGTTTATGTCCCACGGTCTATTTTTACAACTCCAGTGATTTTCTGCGCTAAATATGGAGATACGGCTGGTAAACATTAAAAATTGTATATGACATGGAGAAAATTGTGTGTTTTACCTTATGCAATTTCAAGTTTATCTATACTTTCCTCTATTTGATTGATATTGTTGCTTAAAATAATCGCCGTTTTTTATCTAATATTAAACTAACTATTTTTACTGCCGATCTAGGTCAACATACTACATCACAATCCCGCCAAAATAAAAAAATTACTGCACCCAATCAGAATCGCCGAATTTAGGTGACGTTTTCAGATCGTAGTAAGATTTTACATCGGCTATATTTGTTTATATTTGGCAACCGCTGAACGATTACATTGTTAGAAATGAACTTGAAGTAACTTTTAAATATTTGTAGTAAAATTATATTAAGTATAATTATAGATTACTGTAGTTTATTGAAAATGCCATTGACATTTGTTCTTATATCGCCAAATTTTGGTTACACCGGGATATTAACCGTCGTAATTTACTACAAAAACAATATCTTGAGTCAAAAGATATGCAGACAGTAAACTTAAACATTTTTGCATCCACGTTGAGAAAAAAAATTAAATGACTCACCTTCGAATGTAAATAAATCCAATCCGATACAATTTATACCACTTTCACCGCTATATACATTCGGCCATATAACCTGTATACACGTGGGCGCGTATTTTTGCTAAAGGAACTTATGAAGAAGTCGATAAGACGTTTGCAATGCTTCATCCACTGACTATCAATAATTGCAATTCATCCATGTTTTTTTACAGCATGCTTCTGATTTATTCAATTTATGCCAAATATATTATTTAAACATACATTTTGACTGGTTTTAATGTTTTCTAGATGATGTGATGTTATAGGCCGACATTGAAAGAGAACCAGCTTGAGATAGCAGGATGATTGGTGGATTGTTTATCTACAACCACAAAGGGGAGGTGTTAATCTCCCGTGTGTACAGAGATGATATCGGGTAATTTTATATATTACTTGACTAGCTTAGCAAATATTTGAAGCATTTACATCATTTATAATTTATCATAGGAGACATTTCTTTTGAAAATGTCTTGGAGATAAATTGTATACCTATAAATGCACAGTGCCTTAACTGGAGTACAAGTAATAGAAAGAGCATCAAAACATGATTTGTACGAGGGGGGCTTAGTCTTAAGGTACTTTTTTGAAATGCCAAATTATTATGGTGAATAAAATTTTTACCTAAAATGATTCAGAAGTAGAGAATTTTGATATTCATTGTAAAATGCTGAGAAATAGAAATCATTTCAATTAAGGTACTTGAATGTTAATATGCATAAACTTAAGTTATGATTTTCCCGATTGATATTTTACAGGAGAAATGCAGTGGATGCATTCCGTGTGAATGTTATACATGCGCGGCAACAAGTTAGGTCACCAGTAACAAACATTGCTAGAACAAGTTTTTTCCATATAAAGAGGTATGTTATTATTGTACAGGTAAAGTTTAACCATATTTCTGCTGCAATTACCTATTGAGAGTGGACGAGATGAATTAATGTTTACTTTGCTTTATCTGAAAGAGATTAATGCATATCTGCAGGATGTTGTTACATTTTGACTATTACATGTAATCTGCGGCTTAAAATGTAAAGATGAAATATGATGTTTATGTTTTGAGATGGTCTGACTCACCAACTCAAGCATTTTCAGCATTTGCAAGTAAAATCTCAAAAACTTCTTCCACTGAAAAAAAATCTACATAAACAAAGTCTGTTTACATAGCGGCTTTGTAAACATAACCAGTGTTTCTGCCAGCTCTGATTTTCTGAGGGTCTTTTATGACCCCCTGTATGATATTTTAGGGGTCATTTCAAATTCATAAGGGTCATGCCAATAAATTTAACAAAAATGTAAAAAAAAAAACAGGTAACACTTTATAAGTTTTATTTACAATATTTTGTATATTTTTCGTGAAGAAATTGGTCAATCTCTGCTATTTTGGATTATTTGTCATCCAATAATAACGCTGTATTTCTTAAAATTATGTGTGTTAATTTTCATAAAAGAAAGAAAGTCGATACTATATTGAAATTCGTTCATAGTCGCCTTCTATTTTTCATAGTGCTTCATAGTACCGCCTAGTGACGTAATCAAGGGCCAAATAAAGCTTGACACTAAATATGTTAGTGTTCATCCTTAGCTGTTTTACAAAAATTAGAAACATTCTCCTGTCGCTATCGCTCCCTTCGAAGTTTCTAATTTCTGTAGAACAGCACAGATGAACACTAACATATACGCAGACTGCATTTTCCAGCAGACAGTTATTCGTTCGCAGAATATGACGACAACAAAATAAATAATTTTGTCTGGGCGCTTTCAATATATGCAGTAACGTATAAATGCAAGCGTTTATTAACTAGTTGAAATTGGCTAAATGCCGGACCACGGACCCGGTAAATTTCATTTCTCATTAAAATTATAGTGGAGCCCACGGTAAACATTCCGTACATTTTTATACTGAATTGACGGTTTATAGTCTGTATATCTGACTTGTGTTGAAATCAGCGACGGTGAAATTCTTGCGTCACAAAATACGCACTAACTAAATTTCATTGCGTCATGGCTGAAAATAGTGCGCCAAAAACGCAAAAACACGCTCTGGCAGAAACACTGCATAACATAACATGTTATGTTATGTTATGTTTGTAAACCACACCAATTCACTGCTTCTGGAAAATTGGGCTTTACGCCATTATCATACAATTATTATGTTAATGGCATTTAAAATTGCTGAGAAATTGCATATTTGAAACAGTTTCATCAAAAAAAGAAGCACCAATGTTCACAAAATTGCTTTTATTAGTGACAGGAATAGAGAAACACACTCTTATTCATATTTTTAACTTTTGCATTTTCAGAGTAACAGTGTATTTGACGTTAACTACATTGTAGTAAAATTGTAATTTTCAAATTTTGTCATATTCAGATATCTTACTCAATATATAGAGGATATTCAAGTTTTTTTCTATAAAAACAGGATTTATTTTCATTGAGTGGTATGAAAGTTATCATATTGCACTCGTAGCTACTGCCACTCATCTTGTCAATCTTGTACATGTATTTATATAAAAAAAACTTGAATTTTATGTTTATCATAAACATTTTTCTCATTACAATTTGAAGGCTTCCCCTTAAATTTTGTGTATTTTATGAATTTAGAAGAAAGTCTGGCGTCTTCCAGTAAAAATACGGAAAATATGTTTCACTTCAGTTAAAAATAAATTTTTACAGTAAAATTAGGGAAGATGAAAAAAACGCATTTTATTTCATCAATATTTTTCAATATTTTAAAAGATAAGCCTGGTTTTTCTTGATCACATAAGTCATTTAGATGTCTCATTGTAGCCCGTTTAGAAAATCATATTTTATTTTATTGTATTTTAGGTCTAACATCTGGTTGGCCGCTGTCACAAAGCAGAATGTCAATGCTGCGATGGTGTTTGAGTTTTTACACAAGATGACTGATGTAATGGCCGCCTACTTTGGCAAGGTTACGGAAGAAAACATCAAGAACAACTTTGTCCTTATTTATGAAATACTAGATGGTAATACATTCCTTATTGTAGTATATGTTAAAAAACTAGTTCCGTATTATTGTTGATGTTAACAGTTTGTCACCTTAATGCAGTAACAGGTTAACTCCTATTAAATTATAAAGTTAACCCGTTACTGCACTAAGGTGACAATTCAGCCTGCTGGTGGGAACTGAATTTATCAATGCCACCAGTGCAGACTTAGATCAGCTGGTCAGCTCTGTTAGCTATTCTGTCAATATTTTGAAATTTTTCCTAAAAAATGATTCATGGTTTTATCAAGATCAAAAGATGGGCAATTCCACCTGAAATATTAAAGTGGTAAGGGTTAATTTAAATTACACCAACCTTACAATGGTCATATGATGACTTTCTCCAGCTTTACTTGTGGAGGAATACTTAGCATTAGTAGTTTCATAAAGAGCCTGGGTCATTTCTTCTAGTAGAAGGTTATATCTGCTGGTAAGGAATGAAAAAAGAAATTACCCAAAAAGAAGCAAAGTTGCCCATGACATGTTCGGGAGTACTTACCCAGCCTATGGAATATTCCTGTCACTGTAAGATGCCCTTCCATGAATTATTTCAGACACAAGATGTTAGAATTTCTTAAACGAGCCGCGTCATGACAAAACCAACATAATGGGTTTGCGACCAGCATGGATCCAGACCAGCCTGCACATCCTTGCAGTCTGATCAGGATCCATGCTGTTCGCTTACAAACCCTGTAGCAAGTAGAGAAACTGATAGCGAACAGCATGAATCCTGATCAGACTGTGCGGATGCGCAGACTGGTCTGGATCCATGCTGGTCGCAAACGCATTACGTTGGTTTTGTCATGACGCAGCTCAAATTGACTGTTCTTACTTCTATAATTGGACCTGTCCATTTTCATTGGGGATGGATATCAAGATATTTGTTTGTTGATTTATGTAAGTTTGAATATAGAAATCAACTCCAGTTTCAATTTAAAAATGTAATTATTTTATTTGAAAAATATACAACGTTTCGACTCAAAAGTCTTCATCAGGTATACTTTGTTTACAGGAAATGACGTCAACGTCATATGACGTCAAGGACAACAACGTCAAAATGTAATACATAATTTGGCGTATTAATGCTATATGTAGGATCTTTATAAAAGATACAAAACACTGGTGGAGATGCAGTAAAAAGCAATGTAAAATAAGAAAACCAGCATAAACTACATATTGGCATGAAATTAGTTTTAAGTCATATTAAGCAAAAATTAGAAAATACAATTTTTTATATATTTATATTTATATATTTATATTTATTTGTTGATTTATGTCAGTTAAAAATATAGAGCTCTTAAATTTGGAAGGCGTCATGAGCTTTCATGCATTTGAAGAATTTTTTATTTCCTGTTAGTTCTGTGTTAAGAAGTGTTTTTATTCTTATTTTAGAAATTTTGGATTTTGGCTACCCACAAAATACAGATACAGGAATCTTAAAGACATTTATTACTCAACAAGGAGTGAAGACACAGGTAAAGTATCTGCAGTCTTTATTTATTTTTGTGCATTTTATTTAGAATTGAAGCATGTGTTCTCAGAAAATCAGAACTCTCTGTCTGTGATGTATATAGATTATATAAACATCACAATTATCCAATGAAAAATGATGTTATAAACATGCACAGTATCATAGATTTTTATATACATCTAGTATATTCAAAATTACTTTTATGTGGAAAAAAATACTAAAATTCAACGCATGAATTTCCGATATTACCAAAAAAAGAAGCCTAGTAGCCTATAACCTGTTGGCGGAGAATTTATCCAGCTAATGGGTCATAAAGAAATTCCTGTCAAATGCCTTTCAATGGTAATATAAAATATGCTTTAGAGATCAGTTTTACACAAAAGTGATCTAAAATGCAAAAATTAATGATTATGAATTTGTGTTTTTTCGGTGCAATTTTTGTTTTATTATCTTTTATATTTCATATTTGTATATCAGTCAAAAGAAGAAACCAGTCAGATTACGTCTCAAGTCACAGGTCAGATCGGTTGGCGCCGGGAGGGCATCAAATACCGTAGAAACGAGCTTTTCCTCGATGTCCTGGAGTCGGTCAATCTACTAATGTCACCGCAGGGTCAAGTTTTGTCTGCCCACGTCGCTGGACGTATCATAATGAAGAGTTACTTATCCGGCATGCCAGAATGTAAATTCGGCATAAATGACAAGGTGTTAATGGAAAGCAAGGGAGGCAAATCTGGGCAAGATGATGGGCGTGGGTATGTGAAGAGCACTTCCGGGTCAGTCCTTATCTTTCCTACCTCCTTTTCTACCAGTGAAAATGTCTTGATAGTTGTTTTTTAATTTGCAAATCTCTAGTTAGATTTTAACAAATAACTTTCAACATAGTTATATTTCCTTTATTGATTATTTTTATTTTATTCCATTTTGGTGGAACTGATAGTTATATATATTTTTTGTTTCAAGATTATTTCTGAAAACAAGTAAAGTTAGATAATGCTCTATGAACCATTATTTTAAATTATGATTTACCTCCCTTTGATAAGTAAGGTAATTTTAGACAAAAATAGTTTGGATAAGTATGTCAACTGTTTTCTTTAATTTTGATATACTATCAAGATATTTGGGTTGCTTTGTTACTTGGATTGTTTGATAAAGACAGTGCCATTATGAAAAATGTTTTGCTTAAATCATTATTATTGAATAAAATTGTTGGTAGCTAAATTTTAATAATTTGATATTTAAGTCCCTTAATCTTTAAATGGACTGTTCCAAATTAAAAGATGGGCAAATCCATTCCAGAAATGCAGCAGGTTAAGGGTAAAAGTGCAAGATGAGACATGTAATGTTTGCATAAAAATTACATAATACTAATATGAACAATCTGAATAAAGGGAGAGAACTCCTCATCTCTTAAAAGTATCTATTATTACAGATTCTGCAGAGTTGTCTTTTCAGCATTATTTTTGTTTTGGCTGACTAAAAAAAGACAATTTTGCTTTCTTTCTAACTAATTAATGTAATGGTAATGTCTTTTGTCAAACTCTCCAAGACATTATTAATCATTTACCTAGATATTCAGAAGCTTTATTAAATTATTATTATATGTACTACTAAAATAGTTCCTAGTTCTATTTCAAAATTGTAGCAGGTAAGAATAACTGTTCAGCTATATGTCAGTGGTTTGTTGCAAAGCTATTGTTATGATATATAAAAATGGAGAAGAAACAATAGTTCTGTGACAAACTATAGATTTGTAGCTCTTTTAGAATACTTTTATTTGTGTTCTATATCAATTATATATATCTATGAGGCCAAAAATAAAAAGTTCTGTTTACGATCTCCCTGCTTACTTTGTTTTCTAACTGTTGATCTCAGACATTTTTTTTTGCCTTTTTTCAAAATCATTTCTTAACAATATAAAATCATTTCTTTACAATATATATATATAAATGAAATCTTAGTTAAAAATCTTAAAAATGGAAAGTTTCCTAACTTTTTTAAGTTTAAATTATAGGATGCTGGCTTAATACAGGAAACAGAACTTTTGTTTTTATTTGGCCTTATCATTATTGACCTATGATTGACCTTTGTTCTAGCATTTTATTCATGTTCAACTTCCACTCATATCAACATGCATGTTAAACTTAAACAGTCTGTAAATAACAAAAATGAGCCGCGTCACGACAAAACCAACATAGTGCGTTTGCGACCAGCATGGATCCAGACCAGCCTGCGCAGTCTGATCAGGATCCATGCTGTTTGCTGTCAGTTTCTCCACTTGTAATAGAGTTGGTAAGCGAACAGCATGGATCCTGATCAGACTGCGCGGATGCGCAGGCTGGTCTTGATCCAAGCTGGTCACAAACCCTCTATGTTGGTTTTGTTGTGACGCATCTCAAAAGAATTTTTGTTTATTTGGCAGTGTACCACGTTTTTATAAAGTTATATATATTGATATTTATTGATACATATATTTGTTATTTGCTATCATTTTGAAACATGGGTTATATGCAATTCATTAGAATGTAGGATTTACATCATTTGGACTTAAACTGATGTAGGTTTGAAGTTTCACTATGAACTTCAAATTTCTTTTTTAATATGACAACAATATCCTAATTCCAGCTAGCATCCAAAAAGTGGATTCTTGTAATTGGGTACCTTCTTGTGCTAGATGTTTCCAAAGGCAAACAATTTTGAAAGAGATATAGAATATTACCTGTGAAATTTTACAGTCTGATGTTATTAATTGTCCTTGAAGCTTACACTATTTCCTCCTAATTTTCCTATCCAATATGTATAATCACTGTGATAATCTAAAATTATGTTCACGTCATGTGGCATGTTATGACAAGTTACCTCCCTTGTACTGGTAGATAGGTCTAGGTTAACTTGCATATCTGCAGGCTGAAAGGCTTTCTACTGTTTGCTTTAGAGCTACAATAACTTTAATATTGAAAAATTAATAATATCTTTAAAGTGTATAAAAGCTATTATGCATCTGCTGCAAAAAAAGTGTTGCTTTAAATTTTAAAAAAAGAATAATTCCAAAATGCTGGTATTAAATGTATATGGTAGTAAATTGCCTAAATAGTGAATGGAACATGCACAAAATCATTTCTAATCTGATAAAACCCTACTTTAAAACAACAGGATAATAGTTTGTTCCGGGACATTTTATTCTGTTTTCATAAAATATTCATTTGCATTTTATAACAGAGACATCTTATGTTACAACTTTTTTGAGATTGATCATTGGATTATTGAGGCAATATGATTTTATTGTTCATAGATTTTATGATTTCATAAGATATAGCTTTATATGTTTACTGCATAGCCTACTGGCAGCAATTAATTATAAAATAAAATACAAATGTATATGTATTACCTATTTGAGCAGTGCAGGCTTATTTATGCAGATTGATCGTGGTCTGCACTGTGTAGCTATTCAGTCAGTACATATTTTTGAAATTTTCCCTCAGTATTATAAATTTTTTGTCCAGATTGAAAGATGGACAAATTCATTTAAGTTATTTACAAGATAAAGGCTAAATAGTCCATTAATATATTCAAAACATGTGATGTCCAGGCAGTGTTTTTTTTTCTTTATATAACTGCTACCCTAAAACGGTACTGTTCCCAATAGAAAATGGACATTAAAATTCCCAATTTCCAATGTTTAAATTCCAGAAATGGCTGTTCAAAATTTCCACAAGGCCAAAAGATTTCTGTGAAATCATTTAAATCCAACATATTCATATAAATCATCACTCAATAGTTCTATCTGGACAGTGGAAGCTGTTAGCTATCTTTATTCATGATGTCTATTTTATTTGTGGCTGAAAAAATGCATAAAAAAAATTCCCAATTTAAGTCAAAATAACGCATTTTTTCCCAATCAGTCTGGTACCGGCACCATTCCCAAAGTAGAGAGAAAAAACACTGGTCCATTATGCAAAATTTAGTTTAAGGTTAAATCAAAAGTTAAGCATAACACTGTGTTAATTTAACTTAACACTAAGATAGTATACTAATGATGTTGATTTATGGATATGTCTCATAAAAGATAAAGAAAAACAAAACCATTTTCAGTTTAATTATTTAAACTGAATGTTTTTATACATATAGTTGTTATCATAATCATTAAGGGAATGTATGGAATCAGTAAACAAAACCAACATAATGGGTTTGCGACCAGCATGGATCCAGACCAGCCTGCGCATCCGAGCAGTCTGATCAGGATCCATGCTGTTTGCTTACAAACCCTATTACAAGTAGAGAAACTGATGGCGAACAGTACGGATCTTGATCAGACTGCGCGGATGGATCCATGCTGGTCGCAAACGCACTATTTGGTTTTGTCATGACGCGGCTCATATGTGGATTCATTAAACAACTCTTATTTTTCTTAGCTTTTGCTTGGCTGCTTTCAAGCTTGCATCACTAAAAGTTCTTTTATGATTCCATGAAAATATAAAATATTTTATGAATTGGAGTAATATTCACATAATCTTTTGAGGCATGCAGTTTTAAAATTCTTTCTGTTAGCATGTTTAAGAGTTGGGAAAATGTCACATTTATAATTTGTTTATTGTATCTAAAAGTTAACCATTTGCTAAAGATGGCTTTAACATCTTTTGACCTATATCAAAGTTTTTCAAGCTAGGCAAAGTTTTTATGAATGTTATGTCTTTAATCTGTACTTGAAAATGTGGTGCTTCATTTTAGGTTACTTTTGAATATATTTTTTACCAAATGTTGTGTGGTTTTAAATAGATGGTCTATGAGAATCTCATATAAATTATCCTGGAGTATTTTTAGCTCACCTGTCACAAAGTGACAGGGTGAGCTTTTGTGATCGCTTTTCGTCCAGCGTGCGTCCATCGTCCGTCCGTCGTCCGTAAACTTTTACTTTAAATGACATCTCCTCATAAACCACTAGGCCAATTTCATCCAAACTTCACAGGAATGTTCCTTTGGTGGTCACCTTTAAAAATTGTTCAAAGAATTTAATTCCATGCAGAACTCTGGTTGCCATGGCAACCAAAAGAAAAAACTTTAAATATCTTCTTTTAAAAAACCCTAAGAGCTTAGAGCTTAGATATTGGCATGAAACATCTTCTGTGAGTGTCTACCAAGTTTGTTTCAATAAAAGCCCTGGGGTCAAATTGGCCCGCCCCAGGGGGTCATTGATTTTTCCCTATATGCAATAGTAAAAACTTAAAAATTTCTTTTAAAGAACCCAAAGAGCTAGAGCTAAGATATTTAGCATGAAACATGTTCTAATGAGTTGTCTACCAAGTTTTGTTCCAATAAAAGCCCTGGGTCAAAATTGGCCCCGCCCCAGGGGGTCATTGATTTTCCCTATATGCATATAGGAAAAAACTTAAAAAATCTTCTTTTAAAGAACTCAAGAGCTAGAGCTAAGATATTTAGCATCAAACATTTTCTAATAGGTGTCTACCAAGTTTGTTCAAAATAAAAGCCCCTGGGGTTCAAAATTGGCCCCGCCCTGGGGGTCATTGATTTTCCTTTTATGTGTATAGCAAAAAGACTTAAAAAATCTTCTTTGAAAAAACCCAAATAGTTAGAGTTTAGATATTAACATGGAAACATCTTCTAGTGAGTGTCTACAAAGTTTGTTCAAGATAAAAGACCTGGGGTCAAAATTGGCCCCGCCCCGGGGGGTCATTGATTTTCCTTATATGTGTATAGCAAAATAAAAAACTTAAAATCTTCTTTGAAAAAAACCCAAATAGCTAGAGCTTAGATATTAAGCATGAAACATTTTCTAGTAAGTGTCTACAAAGTTTGTTCAAATAAAAAGCCCTGGGGTCAAAACTGGCCCCGCCCAAGGGGTGTCATTGTTTTTAAACTATATAATATGTGTATAGTAAAAATTAAAAAAATCTTCTTTTAAAAAGCTCAATATGTGCTAGAGCTTAAAAGATAATTAGCCATGAAACATCTTCTATGAGGTGTCTACCAAGTTTATTTCAAAATAAAAGCCCCCATGGGGTCAAAAATTGCCCAGCCCAGGGGGTCATTGATTTTCCCTATATGCTATAGTTTAAAACTTAAAAAATCTTTCTTTTAAAGAACTCAAGAGAGCTAGAGCTAAGAAATTTAGCATCAAACATATTCTAATTTTGAGGTGTCTACCAAGTTTGTTCAAATAAAAGCCCTGGGGTCCCAAAAATTGGGCCCCGCCCCGGGGGTCATTGATTTTCCTTATATGTGTATAGCAAAAACTTAAAATCTTCTTTGAAAAAACCCAAAATAGCTAGAGTTTTAGATATTAAGCATGAAACATCTTCTAGTAAGCTGTCTACAAAGTTTTTCAAATAAAAGCCCTGGGGTCAAAAACTGGCCCCCCCCAGGAGTGTCATTGTTTTTTAACTATATGTGTATAGTAAAAACTTAAAAAAATCTTCTTTTTAAAAGCCCAATGAGCTAGAGCTTAGATGTTTAGCATGAAACATCTCCTTATGGGTGCGGGGGGGGGGGGGGGGGGGGGGGGGGGGGGGGGGGGGGGGGGGGGGGGGGGGGGTGCTATATACAGGTGAGCAACCTCAGGGCCATTATGGCCCTCTTGTTTAGAATGCTTTTGGATCTGTTTGGTCACAAAGAGTAAGAAAATTTTCACAAGAAACTTGAAAAAAAGTTATTTAAACATGTATGCTTCAGTAATAGATTGAAGTCAGTTAAAGGCATACTTAACCATTTGCTTCTAAGTGATATTAACAAAACTATATGGAGTTATTTAACATATTCCAATTTCATTGTCATTTATTTTCATTTTAGTCATTTCCCAAAATTAGTTTTTAGCTCGACTATTCCGATAAGAATTAAGTAGAGCTATTGCAGTCAACCCGAGCGTCGGCGTAACCACTTATGTTAAAGTTTTTTGTAATTTAGTTCAAATATTTTTCAAAGTCCGTGATTGACATATGGCTTTTGAAAACTTTGCACACTTTGTTCACCATCATGAGCCCAAACCTGTAGACAGGAGGAGGTAACTCTATCAAGCATTTTGACAGAATTATGCCCCTTTTTGGACTTAGAATTTACGTTAAAGTTTTGTAATAGTTCAAATATTTCAAAAGTCATTGACATATGGCTTTGAAACTTTGCACACTTGTTTCACCATCATGACCCCAACCTGTAGACAGGAGGAGGTAACTCTAATCAAGCATTTTGACAGAATTATGCCCCTTTTTCGAACTTAGAATTTAACGTTAAAAGTTTTTGTAAATAGTTCAAATATTTTCAAAGTTCATTGACATATGGCTTTGAAAACTTTGCACACTTGTTCACCATCATGACCCCAACCTGTAGACAGGAGGGGTAACTCTATCAAGCATTTTGAACAGAATTATGCCCCTTTTTCAAACTTAGAATTTACGTTAAAGTTTTTGTAATAGTTCAAATATTTTCAAAGTCCATTGACATATGGCTTTGAAACTTTTCACACTTGTTCACCATCATGACCCCAACCTGTAAACAGGAGGAGGTAACTGTATCAAGCATTTTTTTTACTATCAAGCACTAAGAATAGTCGAGCGTTGCTGTCCTACCGACAGCTCTTGTTTCAACATATTTTCAGCTTAAACTAGAAATTTCATCATATTTTCTGATTACATTAGAACTTTCATCATATTTTCAGCTTAAGTTTGAATTTCCATCATATTTTAGCTAAACTTTGAGCATTTATCATATTTTCAGCTAAAATTTTAAGTTTCATTATTTTCGGTGTTGTCTTTGTTTTTGTACCAGTACTTAATTATTATTATATTGTTTTGTTACTTGATCATTATAGTCTGTTTCTACATACAGGACATCATCATCTGGAAAAACATCTATTGCTATTGATGACTGTCAGTTCCACCAGTGTGTCAAATTGAGCAAGTTTGAAACAGAGCATAGCATCAGTTTTATTCCACCAGATGGCGAATTTGAATTAATGAGGTAAGTGTGAGAAATCTGAAACAGATTATATTATCAGGTTTATATATGATGCTCAACAGAACTTAAGATTAAGGAAGTTATCCGGCTAGCTTATAGAACGTTGGTGGTTCTACTCAGGTGCCCGTTTGTGCCTGAAATAATGCACTGAAGGGCACCTCAGGTCTTTCGCCACCAGTTAAACTAGAAAGTCACCATATGGCTCAAACTGTGTTTGTGCAATGTAAAACCCAACCAAAAAGAAAAAAAAAACCACTGAAAGAAATAGGTTGAAACTTCACATACTTATTTGATAACATAATAGGAGGTCAGTTTTTAAGACCCACAATACGTAACATGGGTTAAGATATAAATATGGTCCTTTATTAACTTTAAGAATTCAACATTATCAATTCTTCTTGTTTACTGAGAGAATAGTCTTTCAGACTGCCCTGACAGCAGATGTTATTCTAAATGTTAATCTTCAATATAAATATAAAAGTAGAATTCTTCGTACTGAGATACTTGTCTTGAGAATTGATATATATTATGCAAGCTGTGATTTATTTATCAGGTATAGGACAACCAAGGACATTAGTCTGCCATTTAGAATTATTCCCCTTGTACGAGAGGTGGGCAGACAGAAGATGGAGGTCAAGGTTGTAGTAAAGTCAAACTTCAAACCATCTCTTCTTGCACAGAAAGTAGAGGTAAGATAAATGATCAAGGGTATGCAGGGCTCTAGGCAAGAATTGTATATGAGTAAATTACATGTACGCATGAAAATCACAAATTACGTATACAGATAAAATTTCAAGCGTGGAAAAACGCACAAGAAATTATGATTACACAATGAAAATCATTTCTTCCGCATATCCAAAACTTTAACTTATTGATGATTGCAAATGTGTGAATAAGTTTTGTTGCGTTTCCCTTATGTTCGCTCTTTCAAAAGATCAAAGTGAAATCAATTTTGCCAGAAATATTCTATCCAAAACAGCAGAGACTTGTAAATATAGCTCTGTGCAAAGGGTGACTTACTATCCGTCCATTTCAGGGGCTGTAAGCAGTAGGCACTGAAATCAGTAGTCAGCACCACTTGAGCTTACAAAGAATATTTTTGACTATCATCATTTAGATAGTTTCAACATTTTGTCATTACATCATAAATTTCTTGGTTGGAGAAACACCCCCTGTATTTCTGTTAAAATATTGTATCATTTAATAAAAAATGAGTGGGACTAAAAAAAGGATTGGAGCACCACACTAAATACCGTATTCCGGTACAAGGCGCTTGAATCATAAAATGCTAAAATCTTGCCTTTTTACCCAACGGAATGAACTGAAATAGGTCTTATTCATCTTTTCACACCGATTTATGTATGATAATGAATGAAAAATGTAAAAATCGGCGAAAAAAACGATATTTGTCTTCTTTGTGATCATGATTTCTGCAAGCGTCTAGAGGTACTGCTCCAATCCTGTATTGAGTTAAATCTATAAAAAATAGTATAAATTTATACATATAATGTTGATTTCAGGTCCGAATCCCAACTCCATTGAACACAAGTGGTGTACAGGTGATATGTATGAAAGGCAAAGCTAAATACAAGGCTAGTGAAAATGCCATCGTCTGGAAGTAAGTATTTTGCTGATATATTATCAAATATATGAGCTCTGGGGAGAATTTCTAATTTCTGCCATTTTTATACAGCTAGGCTAGTTATCTCTCATCCATGCACTCTGGCAAGGCTCTATATTGTTAAAAAGCTCAATTTTTTGTATTTTGATCTTGAAATTCTTAACATGTTTGAAATTCAAAGATGGGCATATCCATTACAAATACTACAAAAATTACAAAAAGTAAGCTTATCAATGGTGTCTCAGTTTATGATTATGAGATGTACAATACACTTATGAGTAAAAACTCCTGTCAACCTCCACCCCACCCCCACCCCAACCCCATGAGTAAGTAGTTTCAAGCTTGGATCAAAAAAAAAATCAACCACCAGGAAAAAAAATAATTCAGATGAATGTATTCATTTCTGAGGGTAAATGTGCTTAAACTTGTACTTTAAAATGAATGTTAAGTACATAATACTTTAATTATATAATTACCTGTTTTATTTTCCTGAAATAATTTCTTCATCTTACTAGTTGAAATAAAGCCACCAGTGAAAAGATGATGAAATATTGTTTATATTTGTTAACAACTAGTAAAGGCAAGAAATTATTATGCCAGCACTAGTTTTTTTTTTAATTTCAAAGTCAGCATTTCTTGGAAGCTCTCAATCTGCACTAATTGGTAGCTGTTAAGTCCATGGTTGTCATTTCGTGGGTGGGTGTGAATTCCAGGTAATTCCCATCCTTGAAAATTAATCAAATTTTGCAATACAATATATGTGGGGGAAAAACTTGGAAATACTGTTTTTCCTTTAGCATTCTGTAACTTTGAATTCAATCCCACATCCAAGCCTATGTCTGGGTTTTGTTTGTATTAAAAGTTTTTGAAATCACTAAATTTTTACTGAGTATGTTGATATTTTTATCATTGAATTTTACTTTCTACAGTGTTGAAGCAGTACCTCTAGACTTGTGCAGAAATCCTAGTCACAAATTAGAAAAAATATCACTTTTTCCCCCGATTCTTACATTTTTCATTCATTATCATATTTAAATTGGTTTTGAAGAGATGAATTAAATGTTTTAATGTGCATTTCGGAGAGAGAAAAGGTGAGATTTTGGCATATACTCATTCAAGCACCTTGTCCAGTATAAACAGGAATGGGGTATTTAATTTAGCGTTTGGTCTCACTCTTTTTCATTAGTCTAACAGGGTCTTTATACTTCATTTCAACATGAAATGTACTGAAATGGTATGTTTGTTGTTTGTTGTTTTCAGGATCAAGAGAATGGGTGGGATGAAGGAATGCCAGCTTAGTGCAGAGATCGAGTTACTTAATACCAATGATAAAAGAAAATGGACCAGGCCACCTATATCTATGAACTTTGAGGTAAAATAATAATCACCAAAGTTCAGCACCAGTTGATAGATTAATGGCATATCATTCTATTTTTGGTCAATTTCAGTCTTTTTAGTCTTCACTAAAAAAAGCTTTAGATTGTTCTGAACTGCAATAACAGACAATTTTATAATACTGCAGGTTTGTAACATTGCTTTTCATTGGATAATCGTGAGGTTTAAACATGTTGTTTTATAATTATACATGACTACTGTCAATTTATAAAGAAATCTCACTTTTTTCTCTAAATAAGGAAGTTTGCAGTATTATTAATTTGTTATAGATAATACTAACAGGTTAAATTTGTTATAAATATTCCTGACAGGTTATATGGCCGTATATAAATGGTTATTTGCAATATGACTGTTTATATAGGACCATATAACCTGTCAAAAATCTTTATAACTAATACTTCAGTAATCATTTTTCTTTGAAATATATCCTGAGGAAGGTCTTAAAAGACCGAAACCGGTAGATCCTAGAATAAACCAGTTATAAACCATCCTGATGTTTGATGTGTATTCTCTCCTTCTCTTGATTAACTTGTTAATAATATAATAGTTAATTGTGATATTTTGTGAATATTTGTTATATAATATAAAAGTTAATTGTGAATATTTGTTATTCTTAGATGCTTTCATTTCTGGTACACCAACCACTTGCTTTAAATTTAGCATGCAACCACTTTTTGTAGGGGTTTTAAATGTTTCCTGGCTTTTTTTTCTAAGTAGATAATTGTTTTGCATCAAAGTTCTCGATTATTTAAAGAGGGCAGTTTAAAAACTCCCATTCCCATAATTGTGTTTTAAGTTGAGGATTTAAAACACCATTGTTGTGGAATTTCATTTTTAGGTTGGATTTTTTTTAGGAAACAAAAAGCAAATGAAACATTGTTTTAAGTGAATGTCAGTAATAAGAAACGTCATCTGTTTTACTGAAAGTACATGTTCAAAATTCAGTTTAGGAATGTGCATTTCCGATACTCACATTATCATTGTATCTTTGCTTATAACTAGAAAAAACTAATCAGTGTCTTTTCCATGTAATTCAATCAAATTATAAGGGTTTTAAATGACTGAGAGTATTACTTAAAGATCTTTAATTTTGAAGCATTCCCTTTAATGTCAATGTAATAAAATGAAATCTGGAAGGAGACAATTGGTGATGGGGTGGTGGGGTTGGGGCAAGTTTTTTAAAGTAATCGATCCATCACGCTCATGTTACAAAGGGACCTTGGTCAACCTTCTTTTTTCTTTCACTATAGTTTCATATTTTTTTGCATATATTGGTGATAAACATATATATAAAATTAAAACTTGGAAAGATGTGCACATTTTTTTTGGTGTTTTTTTTTTTTTTTTGTGTGTGTGTGACACTGTGAACATACAATTATGTTTATCATAGCATTCTGAAAATGAAATATCTTGACAAGGATGTGTTCAAATCACAGGACTTGTTTCAGTTTTAACCACTTAATCACAGATATATTAAATACTTACAAATGTTTCTTTTTTCATCTCAGGTTCCATTCGCACCTTCGGGCTTCAAAGTTCGCTATTTGAAAGTATTTGAACCCAAACTGAACTATAGTGATCATGATGTGATAAAGTGGGTCAGATATATAGGACGTAGTGGTCTCTACGAGACAAGATGTTAGCCGTGATGTTAGCCGAAAACCGACAGAACAAGCAGCCTCTGTAAATGAACTTTCTGCTTAAGTTAACAAGAAGATGGTTTACATCAGTGAAAAAAATTCAGATCAACTTATAAAATATTGAAAATATTTAACACAGAGTATATTATTCAAATGTTTTAATTACTGTCTTGTACAGTTATTGCATAGTTGATTGCATGGACCTTAAACAGTTATTGCATGGATAATTACAGTTATTGCATTGTAGAGGCGGGACTAAAGGTGAAAATGTTGCAATATTTACAGACTATATTGTATTTATCATTGTGTTAGAGTAATTCTCTTTTTGGGGACTTAGATATTCATACATGTACCTATTTAAGCAATTGTTGTAACTTTTATTATGTGAGTGGCCATTGGAACAGATTTTAGACTTGCAAAAAAAAATGTGTGAGTGCATGACAAAGACCACTGAGTAACACAATTATTTGATTAATAAAGGCTTGAGTTTTGTTTTTATTATAGGAAAATATTTGTCAAAAGAAGAGGGGATAAGTTTTATTGGATATTTCTTCCTTGGTTCTTTTATTATCATGTTAGATATGAGAAAATGAACTTCTTGATGTTTAAGATATTTTACAATCTAAAAACAAATTTCAAGCTAAGTGAAAATAAAAAGTAATAAGAACGCGAATATACTTTACACAGAACTTCTTTGAAAACTGCTCCTGGTTAAAGTCCAAATATTAATGCTTTGATAGTAACCTTGTTTTGTAAATTTTTATTGAAGCTCTTAAATTTTTAGCCATTTTGTAAATAAAATTTTTCATAAGAGGTGGGTTAGGCCACACAAAACCAGACTGCAGGTTACCTCCCTTTGAAGAGATGACCTTATTAACCCTTTTTGTTTGCTAATGCATCTGAATTTACTAGTGTAACCAGTGCAGACTGATATCTTCATTGTGAGCTATTCTTCGTATTTTCCCTAAAATGTTAAATAGTTTTGTCCAGGTCGACATTCATTTTCAGAGATATAACATGGTAAAGTTTATACTATTTTATCAGTTATCTAATACTTCAATGGAAAATCTAATTTTGTTCAAGATGATAATTAAGTACTTTGTACTTGATCTGTTAAGATACATGTAGTTTTCCTCACAGATCAAAGTTTCTTTATTTCCTTTTGTATAGAAGAAACATGTTGTGATAGTTGAACACTAGATGTATTGTATATGTGAAGTGTTCTATATGTGTACTAGAAACTGAAGGTGGTGTAGTTCATACTATATTTTGTACATTCCATCATTGACAGCCACTTGAAAAAAAGAAACTTTATCTTTTCCTGTATTTTTTTTTACTGAACCTAGTAAATACAGTCTGAATTGTTAAATAAGGCCAGCAGTATGATACGAAATAAAATATAGGTCAAAAGTTGTTTGGGTTTTGACGGAAGTTATGAAACGTATTTTATTTAAATTGTTACATATGCAAGTCTTAAGTAGCAGTAGAATATCAGTCTTAAAATTAAGCTCTGTCATTGGTTGATGTTAGAATGTTTTCAACCAATCAGAATGCATGGTTAATTTTAAATTTATTCTCAGTCAAACGATAAAATAGAGAAAATAGTTTATTGAAAAAAAATGTTTACTGTTGTCCTTTAGCCAACCTTTTTTCTTATTGAAAATAAATTTAGTCAATATGTTAAGCCAGTTTGTCCAGATATTTGAAGAAACTACAATTTAAGGATAATCCTATAGAAAAAAAACAGGGGGGATGGTACATTTAAAAGAAATACCTGAAAACTGAGAATAATACACATCAAATAGACAATGATTAATAATTATACTCATTCCGTTTCATTTGTCATGTATGTAATTGTGCATGTATATACACATATATGTAATAAAATAGAACGGAAATCTAGAAATTGTTGTCTACAATTGAACCAGGAAGACCCATATAGATAAAGCTGTACACTGTAACAGGAATAGCCTTTTATATCTGGTTCCCCAAGTGTGGAGTATCTAACCATCTGTAAAGGAAACGATTGGAATCCCCGGATTTGATTATTTTATCACATTACCAACGTTTACTTCGATGGCGGAGAAATTTGAAGAACTTTCTCAATATCTATTTTTTTTCTTTTGAAACTTTCTAGTTGCGTTAACTCTTAGTCTTTCATGCGTTTCTGTCTGGTCATAACGAATTAGCACATGGTCTATAAAAATACGTTTCCTGTCACATGGTTTTTCTGGCGGTATTGATCAGAACCATGTGAGAATGAATTGAGTATTATTTCATATAGGCTGGCATCAGGCCTCGACACTAACTTTTTTAGCAGTTGGTAAGCCGGACCACTAGATTTGAAAGTTAGGTGGTCCTTTCAGAAGTTAGGTGGTCAACTATTATCATATTATTTTATTGTTTTTTAGCTCGACTATTCGATAAGAATAAGTAGAGCTATTGCAGTCACCCGAGCGTCGGCGTCGGCTTAACCACTTATTAGCTCGACTTTTCTATGAAAAGGGGAGCTATCCTACTCGCCCCGGCGTCGGCGTTGGCGTCACACCTTGGTTAAGTTTTTCGTACCACCCCACTTTATTTCAGAAGTATTACAAGTATGGCTTTGAAACTTACCATACTTGTTCACCATCATAACCTCCATCTACAGACAAGAGTACATAACTCTGTCAAGGTTTTTGACAGAATTATGGCCCTTTTTTGACTTAGAAAGTGTATTGAGCTTGGTTAAGTTTTTTTGTACCACCTCACTTTATTTCAAAACCATTGGAGGTATTGCTTTGAAACTGACCATACTTGTTTACCATCACGACCTTCATCAACAGACAAGAGGACATAACTCTGTCAAGGTTTTTGACAGAATTATGCCCCTTTTTGACTTAGAAAAATACATTGAATATGGGTAAAATCCACTTATTGCCTTAACCCTTTGAGATATTGCTTTGAAACTTTTAATGCTATTTCACATCATTACCCCCATCTGTACGCAAGAGAAGGTAACTCTGTCAAGGATTTGTTTTTTAAAAATTAAGGCCTTTTATCGACTTAGAATCTTGGTTAAGTTTTTAGTACCAGTCCACTTTTTGACTGAACTGTTTGAGATATTAATTTGAAAGTTGGAATACTTGTTTACAATCATGATTCCCAAACATGTCCAGGAGAAGGTAATTCTGTCAAAGATTTTATTTGAATTATGGCCCTTAACTGTCAATGTTTTGACTTAAACATTTCAAACTTTGCTGCAGTGTTCAAGGGTATCACACAATTCAGTAAAATAATTCTTCACTAAATATCTTAATGCTCATGGCCATTGTTCACTTTAAAAATACAGAGATTCTTGTATTGCCTTTTACTGCAAAAACTTTTTTTATTGGCAAGCAATAAAAAAGTCGAGCGCGCTGTCTTACGGACAGCTCTTGTGTTAAAGTTTTTGTAATAGTTCAAATATTTTCAAAGTCCATAGACATATGGCTTTGAAACTTTGCTAACTTGTTCACCATCATGACCCCAACCTATAGACAGGAGGAGGTAACTCTATCAAGCATTTTGACAGAATTATGCCCCTTTTTCGACTTAGAATTTACGTTAAAGTTTTTGTAATAGTTCAAATATTTTCAAAGTCCATTGACATATGGCTTTGAAACTTTGCACACTTGTTCAACATCATGACCCCAACCTGTAAACAGGAGGAGGTAACTCTATCAAGCATTTTGACAGAATTATGCCCCTTTTTTGACTTAGAATTTACGTTAAAGTTTTTGTAATAGTTCAAATATTTTCAAAGTCCATTGACATATGGCTTTGAAACTTTGCACACTTGTTCAACATCATGACCCCAACCTGTAAACAGGAGGAGGTAACTCTATCAAGCATTTTGACAGAATTATGCCCCTTTTTTGACTTAGAATTTACGTTAAAGTTTTTGTAATAGTTCAAATATTTTCAAAGTCCATTGACATATGGCTTTGAAACTTTGCACACTTGTTCACCATCATGACCCCAACCTGTAAACAGGAGGAGGTAACTCTATCAAGCATTTTGACAGAATTATGCCCCTTTTTCGACTTAGAATTTACGTTAAAGTTTTTGTAATAGTTCAAATATTTTCAAAGTCCATTGACATATGGCTTTGAAACTTTGCACACTTGTTCACCATCATGACCCCAACCTGTAAACAGGAGGAGGTAACTCTATCAAGCATTTTGACAGAATTATGCCCCTTTTTCGACTTAGAATTTACGTTAAAGTTTTTGTAATAGTTCAAATATTTTCAAAGTCCATTGACATATGGCTTTGAAACTTTGCACACTTGTTCACCATCATGACCCCAACCTGTAAACAGGAGGAGGTAACTCTATCAAGCATTTTTTTTACTATCAAGCACTAAGAATAGTCGAGCGTTGCTGTCCTACCGACAGCTCTTGTTTTATTTTTTACCCTTTTTACAGCCGCTGTAACGAAATGGGGGAAGCGTGTGGGTATAAAGCAAACTTGTAACAGCTTAATAATATTCCTGGATTGAATTTATTTAACGACAAAGAATGTAAGATTGTTTTTTATGACATAAAAAAAGCCAGAACATGTATGTATACTGAAGGTTGTAGTTACTCGGTCAAACACTCTAAATCAAAAAAGTGTCAGACTTGTTATATGAATTCATATTTAAGTACGTGTTAAAGGAATTCCGCTGAGGTACTGAAACATTTTGTTGAATTTCTAACATGGTTCAGCTGGAACACACAGATATGCAAAAGATAATTAGTAGATACACTCCATATACTTAGTAAATTTGATCTCATATTTCTAAGCTAATCTTAGCTTGATTTGAGTGAAAAGCGTTGCAACTTTTGATCTGAATTTTTGCACACAAGTAATTGGTCTAGACCTTCATTAAATGGTACATTAATGTCGTTTATTACATGCTTTTCGGTTGCTTATATAAACATATCAGTGAAATAAAAACTGATAATTTCACTTTTTTAAACAGTGAAATTATCAATTTGATAATTTCATTGTTTTGAATATTTGAGCCCGTTACGTTGTTTTAGTGAAATACAAGCGTTCACAGTACTGGGAACCAACTTAATGACGTGACGTCGTAAATGACGCCCTTTTCATGTAGTACTAAGTTAAAATGTCTTTTAAAACGTTTTTTTGCATATTATAAAAAGAAAATTTGTTTGGTTTAATGTAAGATCGAAATATATTTCACCTCGTGAACACCAAAAGTTCATATTTCACTCGTGGCTGCGCCACTCGTGAAATATACCTTTTGATGCTCACTCGGTGAAAAATATTCCGATCTTACACTGAACTTAACAAATATCCTCTATATAATTCTTTCCAGTCCCGGCATGTCAAAAAACAAACTTGGTGAAGTCCCTTTAATGTGACTATGGGTTGTTGTTATTTTCTTGGTTTAAAGGACAGGCTTTTCACTTAGAGGCGCCAGTTTTCTTACCGATCTTCTGAAAAGTCATGTAAATGTGATGTACATGTTCTTATAGACAGTAAGTATATGACCCATAATTCTTTACCGGAGTATGACGGAAAAGGCCGGAAAATTGCGATTAGACATGATCACATTTAATATGACGAATTCTCACAAGCGTAATTGTAATAACATGGCCTAGTTCTTATTTACATGTCCTGGAAATTTTTATCATAAATTGGGATGCTGTTTAAGCACTCTTTCCTCCACACTTGTAAATTTAATATCAATTATTTCAATCTCGTTTTTAAATTGGTAAACACTTTATGAGAGTCCTGTGACAGACTCTCATCCTTTATAATTAAGTGAACGGAGATGTAAAACACCCACAAAAATCTATATTTATATGTGAATCTTTATTACAATGCATCTATCTGTGTATCTCAAGTACAGCTGTGCTAAAAACACCTTTAACAGTGTGTCCCACTTTAAGTATTTAGAGGGAAGCAACTCTTTATGCTCCTATCCCACACATGATGGTTTTTAATTTCCAAAAATCAAAATAAACAGCAGTATTTCACAGATAATCATTATCAATAGATAATAATCGTAGATGCGGCATAGTTCACTGTAACGATGCAATATATTATTATACAAAATTAATGTTTGATTGCCTATAGGCCTGACATACGAAAAAAATAGGCGTAATGGATGAAAAACGTATTTTCGTTATTGTGTTTTTTGACAAATTCGTTTATATGTAGAAAGGATAATCTGTGCAAAAAACAAAAACAAAAAAACAATCACTACCTGGCAAGCAAAAGTAATTCAATTAATTTTAATGTACCATTCTACCATACTTTTTTGAAGAAAGGGTAATGTTTAGACTTGTAAGATATACATATATTCCATACTTACTTAATTATCATATCAAACTTTATCGAACCTGTGTTTGTTTTTTTTTGTTTTTTTTTGTTTTTTTTGTTTTTTTTTACATTACTCCATATAGTTTGATAATTATGATGATTTGATTGAAAAATTTTCACAAATAATAATTTAATTTTATCATCTTTAAAGCGCAATGCGAAAAAAAAAATATTGTTCATTTCAATAAAACTGCCGTTCTGTAATTTTTACACATACTCAGCGGTCACATTTCTGTTGTTCCTCACTTGCGGAGACTTCGAGATTACATATCTACCTATTATTTGAAATCATTGATATGAAAGCTGTATTTCCTTTTAAGAGTAATTAATTCCCATTCGATACATTTTGAACATTTGATACCAAGATTTTTCTTAATTTGGTGAAAAAATACCGGAGCTCATATGGAGTTTACATTTGGACGAATGCTGAAAAATGAGCGGCGAGTTTCATACCTTTACTAATATAATTATACATGTATCTTCTTTTTTAATGAAAGAAATGTTATGACAATCATATGTATAGAAACTTATTGATTTAATTGCATATTACAAAAAAAACACTGCAATTTAGATTGCTTGGAAAAGTTGGGAGATCAGATGAGGATGTTACCAGTCAGCCAGCCGACCAGGCGAACACCCATATGGGTTCGACGTAAAAGCCAAAAACAACAACAACAAAATCATGGATCATAATTCAGAAGGACTGAAAGATGACTGAGTACATTTCATTAACATTTGAAGTTTAAAATTTAGACTTTGAAATTCCAAATCTTCTGGACTCTGAATGACAAAAATGTACGTATACACTGATTGATCTTTTTCAAAAATATGCATTGTTTGCTTTCAAATTATTCAACAGACTACCATCAAGAGTTCATAATGAACCTGTTCATGACTTAATATTTTAAAAATTCCGTATTTGATAAAGGCAATTTCAAAGTTTAAAGTAGGAATTAGGTTACATATCCAGATGTCCTCGTCACGGAAGTTCCCATTCCAATCATCATCTTCCGCATATACTTCCGGTGCGCTACACGAAAAGCAGGGAAGTGTACATGTACATCCGGTCAATGATTTGGTCAGCAAAATTTGAACCAGGCGTGTCTGTACGTTTTGTACAAAATTTATTCAATCAGAAAAAAATCTGTCAACTTCGGCGGAGCTGTCGAACCACCGTGGTCAAAACACCACGAATGACTATTTGTCCAGTCCATGCCAATAAGCTCATAATACACTCGGGAATAAACGGCATGTTCCGTAACTTTCGTTATTCCAAAGTTTTAACAACCGCGTCAATAATAAATTCAAGGCGTTGTGAGGTCGACCTTTTCGCTACTATACGCAAAATTACAAGTAGATTGTCGGACGAAACTTTTCAAAAAAGCAGTTGTTTAGTATGATATATTTGTCATAAACGGTTATTGGCTATTATAACATTTAATTATATAAACGGTTATTGGCTATAATTAATTTGTCATAAACGGTTGTTTGCTGTCATTAATTTGATATTTATAAACAATTGTTTACTGTATGACTATGGCGTTAATAGCGACTTCGGTTATATAAACTTAGAATCGTTTATATATGCCCATATAACCTGTCGAACTTATAGACTTCCCGATCGTCTATACAAAATTGACTTTACAATCATATATTACTTTAGTCCATAATATATTTTATTAACCTAATTAGATTTTGAAAAGGACAATAATTCATTGTACAGAAAGTATATTCCAACGTATAAAAGACACATGTATTAAATAATTATGTTTATTAACACATACATATATATGCAAAATAATAATCAACAAGAGCACAATGTTTGATCTGAATTTTTAGTTTGCTGTTGCTGCTGGTTTTCTTAAAGGGTCTTCACTGAGGTTTTTTGACATGACGTGACTGCAAATGTTTTTCCGAGTTCTATGTGCCATTTGATGTATGTGTAGAGCAATAACTTGTATGCAAAGTTTCAGATTTTTCCATCTTTCAGTTTTTCCAGAATATTTTTTTTTGTGCTAAATGACTCAAAATTAAAAAACGTTGCAACGCTTTTCACTCTAATTGAGTGAGAAATCACAAAAAGTCGATATTCAATTTAATTCATAGTATATTTCTTTATTACTTTTGCTGATTTTTTTATTTCAACTGCTTCACCTGATCTATGTAAGAATTTCAAATCTAAGGCTTTTTGACCTCAATGGAGTTCCTTTAACAGTAGCCGCATTCAAGGCTCAAACATAACAAATATGAATTTGATATAAATATTATATATGTCATATACAGTAATCAACTTGAAACATAACAATAATTTACAAAATTGGCGGCACGTTTTGTCACTCCAAGAACAAAATCACAAAATAAATCATGGAGATGTTCAATTTGTCACATTCATTCATTTGTTCGTCGTTCGTTTGTCCATTCATTCTTTTTATTCATTCATTCACCGAAGCACAGTCTTCCGATAAAATATTTAAACACTCCTATTGGCGTTTTAGTCGGATTTTTGCGGCTTTATCCCTTATTTGCGGCTGCTTTGATTTGAATTTAACATTCATTGCAGTTGTGAAACTTCGAAATAGCTCTTCACTTTTCTGTATCATGTATCGCCGCTTTTCATTAATATTTCGTTAATATCTACCGCACGTTATATATAGTGTATACAGCCTTTGCAGAGCGACCCACTGTAGAGCAATAGTCTCTGTATAATTAGAGTATTAATTTTCCAAAACTATGACTTCACAATTCATTTAACATCATTCTCTAGAACAAAATCTCCCAGCAACAACCGAAATATTTGTCTCGTTAAAGTTTGCTGTGTACAGGTTACACTGTATTTATTTTGTTTCGATTATGCGAGTTTTCGGTACATGTTAATTTTCTATCATCTGCGCCATAGGCTAAGTTATTTATATATTCTATTTACATAAAGCTGAATAGCAGGGAACCAGAAAGATGACTTAATGTCCCTTTTCATACTTAGGCACCTATTTCACCGGGAGTGAGTGGAAAACAATACTTAAGTAATATAACTCTTTATGTGCATAAACAGATAAAAGCATTTAATAGAACAGACGCGTTTCTGCTTTATTATAATATATACTTAAGTACACGTATATAAGTACACGAAATATGTCTTTCCGTTCAAGTTTTAAAGCTGAACAGCGCTTGTCCGCTTGTCTGGATTAAAGTGATACGTTTTCATTTCCAAAGTGTTCGTATTAGCCGAATTCGATATAGACAGTCGTGTTTGAAAAGACTGTGTTGGAATGGAATGAGCATCTGAAGGGGTGCGCGCGAGACTGGTTGTGTCACTATATCTCCGAGACACCTGTCCCTGAACCCCAAATTTCCGAAGCAGAGCAAACAGCAAAAGTTCTACAGGAGCGAATGTGCGCTGTAGCCCTCTCCGGAATTTTCTGTTCATTATCAAATAAATCCAGAAATTTGCATGGAAGCTTAGAACTAGAAGAATTTCATACGCACAAATTATAGCACGGCTTGTCTTTAATTCTAATAAATTCTGTTTTGAATGCGTAAGGCTGACTTGGACCAAAAGAAATATTCCGTAGGGTATTTCCGGGATAAGGAACACTATGACAACAGCAATTACTATGCATGAAATTCTTTTGCTTTCCTGGTTGCGCCTTTGAAGGTTTGCTTTATTTGAAATCATTTGCGAATCCCTCATTTTCTTCGTAGCGTCATGCATCATCATCACCATAGCAACAGTGAAGATTATTAGCAATAAACAAGGAAGAAAATGCATCAAAATAATTGTCAGCCAAAAGTAGGCGCATGATTCTTTACATGGATCTTCAACTTTCCAAGCACAGTAGTTCCCATCTTCTGCTTCAATTGCCTTTTTATCAAAAGCATGATAGATGTGTACAAATGGCGAAAGAAACACCACAGCAAGGATAATGAACAACGTGTTCCGAATTGTGAATATCCTTTGCGCGCGAAATGGAAACGAGACTGAAAATTAACCTCTGGAATCCAAGAACTACTGTCAGCCATATTGACATCGTATGGAACCCGCGGTTTATGAAATATCTGATAAGAAGAAACGCCTCACACCAGTGTTTAGATAATGCCAAATCCCCTTCCTCGTAGTGCTGGTACGCATGGATTGTCACCGGAAGTGTAACTAAACCAGTGAGCGAGTCCGAGATAGCGACAGCTATAAGAATTGTATTTGTCGCATTGCGCATGTTCCTCCGCCGAAGGACAACCATCACCAGAATGTTAGCGAGCGTTGTCACAATTATCAGAACTACCCAGATATACAGAAAGACAGGTCGCTCAAAATCGAACCCCTTGTAATAGTATATATGCTTCATCCCGTCGTAGCCATATTCGTAATAGTAATATTCGCCGCCATAGTAATAATCGTCATCGGCGGACACGGGTGTAGTACCGGTAAGTCCATCAGTAAAGTTATCAATATTGCCGGCACCCTGGTCCTCGTCATAATAATTGGAATATAAATCGTCATATACGTGACTTCCGGTTGCCGTGCCTGTATTTTCGACAGTTTCGTTCATTTTTTCCGTTTGCCTTTAAAGAATGATAAAGTTAAGATTTAGATTTTTTTAAAGAAAATATGCCGTAAAGTCAACAGTTGTAATTACAACATTTTGCATTTCTCATAACTGGAAGAACTGGGGATATTTCTATATTATTATATACATTATTTTGGCTGCATGTGCACTTTGTATATGAATATGCAGTAATATACAGGAATATGACATGTCATGTATGACGTACGTCCCAGTGCCATTAACCCTTCGTAAAAAACTTCGCCGCTGAATGTAGTTCAAAATGCCTTTGCAGAGTAAAAAATACACTAAATTTCTGCTGTCCTTGAACTTTCATCTCAATATCATTCCCTATGATACACGCATACAAATTTGAATTTAATTGATATACTTTGGAGCAGAAAAGCACGAAACATAAAACCCTCTTTAGCAAGATGCGATTGACTTTCATCCACGCGCCTCTTAGCGCTGAAGGTCCGAATCCCAAGAGGAACCTTTGGACCTTTCATGTGGGGAAATATTCAGCTAGCTTATGTATGTAAGACCGCTGATTCTACCGAGATCAATTTTGTGAAAGTAAAAATAAAATTATATATAAAAAACTGAATATAGCAAGAAGTATAGAATTAAGTATATATGTTTACCAATCAGGTATTTGTTTTCATTAACGGTTTTTTTATTCACGTAAATTTGTGAATTTCAATATCATTTCTTTTCTTTGGTATATACGAAAAACAAAGAGGTCTTTTGTTAAAAAAAGATGATGATGGATATCCCGGGAAAATAAAATCCAAAACGTACACTTTGCATTTCAGAAGTTGTATAAGACATAATACAATCTTGATTAAGATGCTTATATAAAAAAGATGCTAATATAAAAAGACGGCATTTATTTCTGACATTGTTATATTTAAAGAAATGAGCCGTGTCGTGACAAAACCAACATAATGGGTTTGCGACCAGCATGGATCAAGACCAGTCTGCGCATCCGCGCAGTCTGATCAGGATCCATGCTGTTCGCTTACTAACTCTATTACAAGTGGAGAAACTGACAGCGAACAGCATGGATCCTGATCATACTGCGCGGATGCGCAGGCTGGTCTGGATCCATGCTGGTAGCAAACCCATACTGTTGGTTTTGTCATGACACGGCTCAAATATATATTGATGTTTTTAAAAACTTTACGGCATCATCAGAAAACAGTTTTGTAATTTATGCGCATTCGATTAAGGAATTGTTATTTTATAAGTGAATGTTGCTTACACAATATGTTACCTTAGAAAAAAATTCTAAAAAAGAAATAAAAATCATACCTTTAAACTATTTCATGAAGTAACTGTATAATTTCCCCCTTCAAAATTTCGGAACAAAACTTTGTTCATTACATTGTATTTAATTACATAAGCGGCGAATGATCCCGCCGAAAAACTTGGAATGTAGTGTTCCACTCCGAACAATGTATCTGCATTTAATATGATAACAGCTCTAGGAAACAGGGTTTCAATTAAGGAAAGGCCTACTTGACACAAGATGGATCTTGAACAGTACGTGTCAATAGCCATATATATACCAGTTGTAGTGTATAAATAAATTGCAATAATGACTTGTTGATAACAGATTTCGGCTGCGATAAAAAGGATACTTGTGCCCTTAAGTTTTAATAATATTACGCCGCAGTTTCGTATTGTTTCAATTTTGCGCGAAAAGTTGCTCTGTGTGTCGAAAGTCGCGGGAAAGGGACGACAAAGGGAAGAAAAGACGTAATAAAGTTGCCCTTACGGAAGTAATAAACTATTGTTTCCTATTTAGAATCTTTATCATTTGAAGATATTTGTCGAGTGTTCATTTTGTTTTCGCCTGCATTATCCCCGAATTAATCTAAATAATAAAGCTCATTTAAAATATACATGTTTTTTATCAGCTTATTAGCTTGTAGCCTCAACTTATTTTAGCCAATGACAATCGTTTCATCTAGAATGAAAGTTAATTAAATATCACACTGGCCATAGATTTTGCAGAAGCGGTTGGTCAAGCTCTGTGGCAGTGGTGCATTCGCAACAGAAGCAGCGGGAAAATATGACTTCTAGTTGACACCCCACTCCCCGTTCCCGTTGATTCGAATCCCGTTAGAGACTTGTATCTAGATAGTTATTTTTGATTATATATTACGATGTTACAATGAAAGAAACTGAAGTTGCTCCGAATAAAACTTGTTTTCATGTGCTGCCATGTCTTTAATTGCAATTAAATAAAGTTGTGGTGGAATAAAGCCAGTAGATTTGTACATCTATCAAACTTTGTAAAACAAAGGAGAGCAATGGCTTATTAGTTAACGTGTCTGTTCGTTAAAATCCAGGTTGCGGGTTCGAGCACTTAATGTGTCTAATCATACGGAGTAATTCTTTTTTTCTTCACTCTTTTATTGATGTTTAAGATGAGTATAAAATAGTTCATAGATGGCCAACATGAAATCCACCCAACTCAACATCTATCTATCCCGAAAATGTTTAATACGGGATATCGAGGAGGAGTTTGTTGAATTTTTGCGAGTTATTTAAAAACATTTACTTTTGTTCTCCTGCAAAGATTTTCCGGATATGTATAAAACTTGCTCTTGTTTTCAGGAGGAAGAAAAGAAATCTTGCTCACTTGAAAATCTGGCTCTTTGTCTTACTATGGTTCTTATCCTACAGGGCAAAACGTATATAAGGGAACCAGTAGTATTGCTGTTCAATGCAATATATTATGTATAATTGAACATAATGAAAGCTAATTGAAGTTATTGAGTTATTTTTCTTTTGTCTTTGGATCGAAATCATTCAAGGGAGACAACAGTGTCAATTATTTTATCAGGTACAGACACGAAAGTAGCGTCCCTTGCTGAATTTGATGTTCTGCATTTTTTTCGGTTAGCTGCTTTTATTGTTGCATAATTATGTAGTGAAAAAAATACATTAGAAATAATAAGGAAAAAATGAAAGAGAAATTATATCCTCATCCTCAATTCAAAAGTGCCAAGGACGACTCTCACCAATGGAAGTATTTTGAATATTTGAGACCCTAATCATTAAACTTGTTTTAAACTGAAAAACAAAAAGTTGAGACTAAATAATTAAATAAGATGCACAATTTGTGTTAAAATGTTAAAAGGTTTTTTTTTACAACCAATATAAAGGAGATAACGCGTTAAAACACTTTCGACTATTAAGAGTTTCGTTTAGAAAGAACTGTTAAAATCTGATTTTCGATCTCAGTTTCTTGTTATACAAGGTTATACAAAAGCATGTCTCAGGATAAGTATATCACAAATGATAGTCTCCGACTTGAAACTTCACATCCATTTTTTTCTTCAAAATTTGAGCACAAATATAGAGGTAATACATCTTTAATATAATGAATTTTCATATATTGCTATGCTTTTAAGTAAGACAGTGCTAAAGTAAAGCTCTTTTTAGATTTGCAGTTACAAAACCATTGGGATACGCGCATCCTCCATGGGAGTGAAGATGTTTGACCGTGAGTTTTTAAAGCGCATGCGCCGGATTTACGTAAATAGTAAATGGTAAATGGTTTTGTCATGACGCGGCTCAAATGTTGCACGTCCGATTGACACATTAGACAGAACGTGAGGATTCGCGAGTCCTAGCTTGGTCCGAATTCTGAATCTCTTGGAATAGACATTGAGGAAAACATTTTAACATCATGCTTTACTGAAATACCGTTGAGGAAAAACGGGACTTACCTCAACAAACATATCAATATTAAAATGTACAAATGAAAGGTTACATTTTTTTAACGGCCAAGCTATATATTAATCTATGATTTACTGTTAGTCAATGAAAAAGTTCAAATATCTTCTCCTATACAAAAATTACATTAAAACATTTTAACGAGTGCCACAGTGGCTTAAAGGAACTCCACTGGTTTCTGAAAAATAAATAAATTAATTTGAAAATTAAAAAAAAAAACGAACATTATGTATTTTACTCGGAGAATGACGCTGCGAATCAATGTCTTACCTTAGAACATGAATGCTTATATTCGCACTTATTTCACAGATATATAGATCTATACTGAACTGGCTTAATTGGGACCACATGACGGACAAAAATCGAATATTTTTTGCCATATATATGCCAAACATGATAGATACGTGAAACGTTCACACAGGATAAAGTTCGTTTCGTGATCATCATTTTCTTCCGTTTCCCGGAAAATACAGAATACAATGTGGTGGTAGTTTTCACTCCGGATCACTGCAGGAAGCCACACTGAATTTACCATTCCGCATCTTTTCTGGACAGGCTGTCAAACAGTTTACCAGTACTAGTTGCCATCACTTTCGCAAAGAACTGACAACTTCTGTACAGTCATATATTGGACGCTACAGAGTTCAATGTTAGAATAAAATATAATAGATTGGATGGTCATATGGTGCCATCTAAAATGTAGTACATGTATAGAAGACATGTAGGCGATTTGACTTAATTTGTAAGCTTTCATATACCTTAAAATGTGTTTTATACATATATGAATATATTACATGAATAACATAAATGTTGATAGGCTTTGGTGGACATTAAAACTTGGTCTACAATCGAGCATACGCATTAACTGACCTTTGATTTTTATTTTAACATATTTTATTGCCAAAAAGGGGGGGGGACACATACTATGCAAACATATACAATGGCTTAGAAGAAAAAAACATGTACATTTGTCGATAAAGAAATCATTGAGAAAATGAAATGAGCCGCGTCATGACAAAACCAACACAATGGGTTTGCGACCAGCATGGATCCAGACCAGCCTGCGCATCCGGATCTATACTGCTCGCTATCAGTTTCTCGTCTTGTAAAATGGTTTCGCCAAGCGATAAGTCGAAAATTAACAAGTTAAATTGGCGGGGCGCGCAGCCAAAACACGCTACTTAGCGAGGGCGCGGAGCGAGATTTAAGAAATAAAACGGCGGAGCCGCGGGACGAAGAAACGCTAATTAGCGGGATTGTGGGGCGAAGTTTAATAACGTTATTAGCGTGTTTTTGTCTCGCGACCCGCCAGGCGAAAAGTCGATAATTAACATGTTAAAATGGCGAAGTCGAGCAGGGAAAACACGCTTGGATTCGATATATTTACATTATGATGAACAATATATACACAAGTACCTCGCACAAAAAATGAAATTGCCGATTTCTTTACTCGTCTAATTGATGAAGATGATTGGTCATGTCCGATGATTTCTTTCATGCAGTATGGGGCCCTTTACTACTGACCGTTTTGCTTTTGTCGATAACAGAAAAACAATTCGTTTCAATTCTAAGTTTTGGAATCCAGAAAGCGAGGCTATTGACGCGTTGTCTCAAAATTGGCTAGGAGAAAATAATTTGTTAGTTCCTCCCGTGTGTTTAGCATGCAAATGTATTTAGCTTTTAATTGACTGTCATGCTTCAGGTACTTTTATTGTGACGAAATGGCCTTTGGCTGCTTTCTGGCCTATTGTTTTTGCAGACGAAATTTGCACATGGAGAGATTATGTTTCAGACGCTTTAGAATTTAATAATGCAGAAATCATTATACCCGGCAATAATATAAAATCTTTGTTTGGATCTGACCGATTCAACGGGTCGGTTTTAGCCATTGAATTCGATGCACGATCAAAATAAAATTGAATTTGTTTTTATGAATAGTTTGCCCCGCCTTTCTCGGGGTTTTTATTTCTATTTTTAGTAACTTGAATGTTTTTAATACAGACTCCCATGCGTTTTTCTCGTTTTCGTAGATGACACGCAAAAGTATTTGTGTTAACGAGCATGCTTATTGTAATTCACTTGAATTTATTGACCTGTTGAAAAGATAGAGAAAATCGTGATTGTTTACACGAAACATACATGTGATATACAAAAATGAAATGGGATGAATATTGTAATGGAAAGTTGTGGAGATGAAGAATGATAATTAAATGGTTTTGTCAAGAAAAGAAAAGAAAGAAAAAAAGAGAGAATGAAAGAAAGAAGAAAATAAAAATGAATTTATAACTGAAAGTTGTAGAAATGTCTAAAACAAATAATAATAAAATAATAATAAATAGGTCAATGGACTCAAGTATACCAGTATGCTTTATTTGTTTATTATTTAAATTTTTTTCAGATATTTTCAAATTTGGCATATTGAAAGATCTTCATCATTTCTCTGAAGAAAATCCAAATTTAAATGATCTAGCAGATAAATTAACCGAGATAGTGCTTCAAAGTAAATCTGACAATACCAGGAAACAATATTCGTCTTACTTCAGAAAATGGATTGCATGGTGCAACCAGATGAAAATAGCTAAAATATATCCCGCTTATGGGCGCATGATATTAAGGACTCAAAAAATCTATGTGTGTCAAAAACGGTTATGCTGCAAAAAAGTTGTGCGGTTCACCAGTAGATAAGAAAAAAACTTTGATATCTGAAAAATGTTTCCTTTCTTTCCGCCTG